CAGTGGAGAGCTGGAGCACCCCTTGAGCCTTTTTTCTTTGTTTTTTACCGTTTCTAGCTTAGACTAATAGACTGGGGTTTGGCTGAATTCTATCACCCTGGCCAAGAGTACAATGTCAGAGTGGCTTCCAGATATTTCAAAGGACCTGAACTTCTCGTAGATTATCAGGTAAGAATTACCAGGATTTATCACTGACTTTTATATGGAAAGTCTGTGCCGTTTCAAGGTAGCAAACCAGAAGTTCAGGGTATCTAGAGACCTGAAGCTAAAGACAGTCCATTCTGAAATGTATCGCAGAAAGCAGCAGCTGTGAAGCCACTGAATTAAATAAACTCATGAGTAGTCTCAGGACCTGAGGAAGAGCCACAGAACTATCGTCATGGATCTTGGAATACAAATGTTGAATATTTTTTTAGCAAGGCTGCTTTTGCAGTAATGTAAGGAACGAGACAAAGCCCGTGTGGGAATAGCTAGGACGGCATGAGCGTCTTAATTAAACTATGAAAACATCCCCATGTCTGATGGCAGTTTGCATTATGGAAATGTGGGCTGGAAGTAGCAGTGTTACTGGTGGCTTTCAGACCGTGCTGGTTCTGACTGAATGCACTTCCTCACCTGCCTGTGGACCTCGTGGAGTCCACTCTTTGTGTTGCCTGTCGTGATGCTTCCCTTCTCAGCATGTGTTTCTCAGTGATTCATGAGGCCAAAGTCTGCAGTGAAAACAGAAAAAGGCACTGGTCTTGGATATCTTTATGGGCAAGGATGGGAACAGGATACCTGCTGTTCTGCTAATGGCTGCATCTCACTTTGAGTAACTGGAACACTGAGCTCAACAGTGATCTAGTGGTGAAGGTGCATGAAGATATTTCAGTCTGTTCCCAGTGTAACGTGGCCACTGCAGGGAGGGGGGACCCAGTCAGTACTGGGAGTCTGTTCTGCATAATTCATTAGCAATTGAATTGTCCTTCTGGTTTTGTGCAGATGTATGATTACAGCCTGGACATGTGGAGCTTGGGTTGCATGTTGGCTAGTATGATATTCCGAAAGGAGCCATTTTTCCATGGCCATGACAACTATGATCAGGTGAGAGCTGGTCGTGTACAATCTCTGTTCCCTTAGCACAATGAAGGTTTCCTGCTCACGCTTCTGTGGAGGGATCTGAAGAAGAATTTATTTCTCTGATGGCTTCTTTGCTCTGTTTGAAGCCACTTTCCTTTTCTCAAGTGTGCAAGATTATCTAACCAATTAAACAGAAGTAGATTTATAGTGCTTTGTATTTATGAGCTCCTCAGTAGGTATCTGGGAAAAGTTCTAACAGCAGTTACATTGAGGCTGATGTGTTCTGGTATGTGGATTGACTCTTCTGAGGTTACGTGGTGTGGGAAGCCCCTGCTGCTATCCACCCTCCTTCCCCTCTGTGAACTTGGTACAGTTTTAAAGAGATTCTGAAATGCTTGATGTGTTGCCTGTAGGCCAAAAAGGCCTGTACTTAAACCTTTAACATGAGCTCTGCATCTGAACTAACGTGCAGACGTTCAAGAACAGTGACCTTCTGTTCTCAAACTTTCATTCTGGAGCCCTCCGGGGTGGCACTTCACCCCTCACATGCCAGTTACAGAGTTTCTGCCTTCCCACTCTATTGGTTGGGATATTTTCTTGCTACAAAGGCAGTTAGAGTTGCAAGATCTCAAGCTGTAGTGATGTTGGGGTGTGCAGCTGCCTTGGGTTACTACACACGGACTGTGATTATAGGTGGTTGGGGAAGTCAGAGCCGCGAGGTGACCCTGTGGCTGCTGGCTCAAACCACTGAGGCCAGGTTCAGGCTCCCAAGGGAATGTGCTGCTGTATCTTCACGCCGGCTCTGGTGTTATCGTACCCTCACAACAGTGACTTATTTTCCTGTTTGTTCCCAGCTGGTGAGGATAGCCAAGGTGCTGGGAACAGAAGATCTGTATGACTACATTGACAAATACAACATTGAACTGGATCCACGTTTCAATGACATCTTGGGCAGGTGAGCCAAGGTCCAGAGTAGCTCATGAGCTCTTGGTAGACCCAGACAACTACTGCTTTGTCAACAGACCTCGGAAGTAAACAAAACCTTATGCTTATGGGAGAAATCAGCCCAGATTGCTGGGAAATGTCACTTTGTGCCTTTGATCCCTTTTGCCAGTCCTTCCTGTGGTCCTTTTTCTGCGAATGGACTTGAGGAACGGTTTTCAAACATCACCTTGGCAATCAATGAATGCTGGAGTGTAAAGCATGAAGGGCAGATGCTCTCTGCAGTATTCTGGGGAAAAAACCAGGATGGTGTTTCTCAGAATCATAGTGCAGAAAATCAGGTGCAGCTTAAGATGGCATTTACATATTTTTTTCCCTCATGAAGTTATTTTGTGTGACACATACCAGAACTACAAGGAACTAGTGTTGGGGGCAAAAGAGACGAGCAGAAGCTGGAGTTCCTGGCGTTCCAGGCCTCCAAACCTGTTCTGAACTTGAGCCCTGACGCTGTCCAGGCTGTGGTGGCCGTGCCGCCGTGCAGAGGCATGACATACTGCTTGGTGCTCCGGCACGGCTCAGCCTGCCGCATGGAGCCGTGGCCCCCTCGGAGACGGATTGCTGTTGCGGTTCTTGCTCCCTAAAAAAGTGAGTTTTGGCACTGGTGTCCTCTGCCTAGCCTGATCTGGGTGTCTTTTCCTGCAGACACTCCCGTAAGCGATGGGAGCGCTTTGTTCACAGTGAGAACCAACACCTGGTGAGTCCAGAAGCTCTGGATTTCTTAGACAAGCTGTTGCGATACGATCATCAGTCGCGACTCACAGCGAGAGAAGCCATGGAACACCCCTACTTCTGTAAGTCTCAGCTGCTGTCATCGTCTGCCATCCAAAGAGTTCTTCCTCTGCCTCTGGGAAATCTCCGTTCCTGTAGGCTGTGCAGATAGGAGCTAAGAACAGCAACATAAGGTCAGAAATAATTGCGCTGGAGCTGAGGCCGCCTGTCTCCGTGGTGGATAAAGTAGGGCATTGCCACCTACACCAGCACAGCGTTGCCTGCCCGTGCCAGGCCAGTGAATCAGCAGCACTGTGTTAAAGAAGCTTTGGTGCTAAACCCCTGCTGATTTCAGCAGGTGCCAGGGCCCACGGATTGCCGTGTTTTGGTAAAACCAGATAACTCTGATGTGTTCTAAATGTGTTCCTCAGCGAATGGTATGTTCAGGTCTTGGTTTTGCAAGCAAAATGGAACTTTCACTGCTGAGTGTTTCTCAGCGCTTGCTGTTTCTCACAAATCTTGGTATCTAGGCTTTTGAAACAGCTGTAACAATGCAAAATATGAGTATTAGCTCAGTTATATTTTTTTTTCTTGCTGCTGAATGGACTTGTGTACGTAACGAACAGCGTAGGTCTGTGTTGTGCCTGTGGCAAACATTGAAGTGAAATGTGTTGCAGGAATGAGCATCAGTAAAGATGAAAGCCTGGAATGTGAGAGTTGGACAAACAGCTAGATTAACTGTGTCCAAATAGAGAGACAGGTTGTACTGAACGCAGTGTGAGCAGGGGCAAAATCTGAAGTTCCCTCCTCTGATGCAGTAGGCTTGGGAGGCAGGAAGGGGCTGTCTCTGTCCAGATGGTAGCATTATTTACCTGCAGCTGAAAATGAAGAGTTAGTGATGACATTTGGAACATCTTACAGAAGACGGCAAGCTCCGATGACCCTTGTTACAACTCACAGGCTGCTGTGGGATGTGTATGGAGACATGACATGATCGTAATTAGGGGTAGCGAGCGGAAGGATTATGACTGTTTTCTGGGTTTGGCTTTATGCAATTGCTTAGCATAGAAAGGAGATCAACTTCTCCTTCATTTCCTTCAGCTTTTCCTGTCAAGCAGTCCTGCTGATCATAGAATCACAGAGCCATGGAATGGTTTGGGTTGGAGGGACCTCAAAGATCATCCAGTTCCAACCCCCCTGCCGTGGGCGGGGACACCCTCCACTACACCAGGTTGCTCAAAGCCTCATCCAACCTGGCCTTGAACACTTCCAGGGATGGGGCATCCACAGCTTCTCTGGGCAACCTGTGCCAGTGCCTCACCACCCTCAGAGGGAAGACTTTCTTCCTTATATCCAATCTAAATCTCCCCTCTTTCAGTTTAAATCCATCACCCCTTATCCTGTCACTACATGCCCCTGTAAAAAGTCCCTCTCCAAAGTGCATCATTTAGGTGACTTCTCACTCATGACGTTATCTTGTTACCTTCTTGGGTGCTTCCCACTGGAATTGGTGGAGTCTTCTGTGTTCTGGTAGATAATGGTTGATGTTACTCGGTGTAGCGTGCCAGGACTGGCTGGGCACGGAGCTCGCGGGCAGTCGGTGTGCTTCGGCTGCACCTAAGGGTGGTGTGTTCTTCCTAGATCCCATCGTGAAAGACCAAGCTCGGATGGGCTCGTCCAACATGCCGGGTGGCAGCACTCCTGTCAGCAGTGCGAGTATGATGTCAGGTCAGTTCTGCCCTTGACTCTTCCTGGTGCGTGGTGTTTTAAAGCGTTTGCATGTGCTGTGTGGATGTCAGGCTCCAGGAGGGTGAGTCTTGCAGGTGGGGCATTAGGTCATGGAATCATTTCGGTTGGAAAGGACCTGTCGTTTCCTGGGGCTGATGACAAGGGCGAGGAGGGCTGCGGGAAGTGGGTGGGAAAGGGCGATAAATAAGGCCTGGCTGCAGCCCGACCTGCTTTTCTGGTCCCGTTTTAAAAAGTGCTCTGCAGGTGAATTTTTTGGCAGCGGTTTGAAGGACAGCGATCCTGCCATCCACCTGCCCATCGGCGGGTGACATTTGCCCATGTACAACTGAGCTCTTTCCAGAGGCTGCAGAGAACATTCACCTCACTTTATTTGGCAGCTCTGAAAACGTTACAAAGCAGCAGCAAGCTGACCTGCAAAGATACCACTTCATTGAAGAAGCTGAGCTGTCCTGGTGTCACTCTAATTCCTGCTTACCTGTCTCTGTTCCAGGGATTTCTTCAGTGCCAACACCTTCGCC